TTCCCTTTTATTCAATCATCTTGATAATTGTATCGCTGTATACAGTAAGTCTGACTAATTAAACCAGGCCTCTCGATTCGAAATACAGATTCCCGCTATTTGACACAATGCCCCACTCTTAACATTTCAAGGAATTCTCACTTATGTAATACGCAGATATCTCCTCGCTCGGCTCTCAGAAGACGGTATATCAAGCAACTTTCAGCGACAAAGACATCTGGCCATTGCATTTAAAAATATTGTAACCGCTTCCTTCTGTACATCTAATTTCATTTAAACCAAATCATGCCTTAGCCTTTCAAGAAGCACCTCATTGCATATAAGAACCCATTTCTGAGACGCACTTTTTTCTACGCATTTCATTTCAAATACTAGTAGACTGGCACTATTAAGTGATGCGTCAAGAATAAAGCACAAACTGTATATTTCATTCCTTGGGCAGACGTGGATCGTAAAACATTTGGGACTTGCTGTTCCTCTCTTATGCATTATTTTCGCAGACCTGGTATGTCAAAGTAGTGACAGTTAATAGAATATGGCCACCAAATTCTACACGGCTATGCCATGCTGAACTGCTTTATCTTAAAGATAAAACCTGAACAACCCTATCAAGCCTATTTAATTTTCTCATAATTCACCCTACGAGTTGATGCGATTGCTAAGGTACAAATGAATGCTCCCTTGCATCCAAACAGTTTCCGTCTTTTCGGTCCTATTCTGGGGGGTGATTCCACCGATGACAACATACTTGATATCATGTGAGGTATATTCTGCCTAATTCGTGACGAGGGACTGGTAACTTAATTTGCTTCTAACGACATCAATAAAGCCGACGTTTCTATCGGATTCAATATAGCATTGCTTTCTAAAAAGGCGTCCTCATCCAAGGAGACTGAAGTTTCGACTTTCTATAGGCCTTACCAACACCCACAGCGAGATTAACCGTAAAAATGCAGCGCGTGATCTCGGCACGCACACATATCCATCCCGGAATACTTCGTCAAGATAAAGCTTGAAAGACGCAATTAAGCTTATTTAGGCCACTTGATACGATTTCTGAGGCACTAACTAATGCTTTGTTACAGCAAAACAAGCTGTCTTTTCGGTCCTACTGCGAGGAGCGGCCCCATCAATAAAAACAGTTAGCCGATTGATGGTACGCGTGCCGAACCGACATAAGTAGCTAATCTCAATGATATTACCGTTAAGCGACGATTTATGGCTTGAAACACAGGGAATTCCAGAACCATCTGGAGCGGAATACACAACCCACACGTAAATGTAAGGACTGGTGCGAACTTTCGAGTGCTGCGTCATTGACCTAATTCGATTTCACTCTCAAAATGTGCCAAACAGAGCAGCTAACTGTGGACTCTTGTCGATTCGCCAATAGGGATATTTACCAGTCGTGTATTCGTTTTTTCACAAAAAAGCAAGCAAGTCTGGCGTATGCAATCGCAAAATGTTTTAAGCGTAAAGAATATAATCCGGAAGTGGTTAAGTACCAAATAAACGAGTACTAAAATCGATCGATCGCGAGACTTGTCGTAAGGAGTTGGACGGAGCATATATCATTGATGATTCTGAAAGAACAGTGAGCTTGACTCAAGACTATATGGTACCAAGCAGGTTATTGTTTCTGGTACAATATGCGTACACTGACGATGACTGCAACACCAGCGGAAGTATTAACGCTAGTATCGTAGTGATGAAAGGGTGAATTAAACTAACATGGAAAATGTGACATCCATCGACGCCTCCCTGCCACGGATCAGCGATCAAAAGTAATGAAACGAGGGAGTTAAGCAAATTCAAATTAAAGACGACTGAAATGGAATTAAATTTACTTTATAGTATAGCAAAGTAGCCCGTTAGGCAAAAACCATTCTAGCTGAAGTTAAATTGTCGCTAATGAAAATATAAGCTGAAAAAGTACAGCAGGAACTAAAGGACGAGGGGATATAGCCACATGAGGTAAGGCAAATACAAGGGCGCGAGTATAAACCGCTGTCTGTTGGAACCAGCTTACCATATGAGCAAGCTGCACGGCTCTTTAAAATTGTAGTCTGCGCAAGCTAATTGAAAATAAATAAAGGTAAGCAAGGATATATAGCTGCACAGATAAATCCCTTACAGAAGATTGCCTGTGAACATTTAGTAGAGTTCATAATGACCGAGGTGTATAAAAGTGAAGAATAAACGCGCTATTGACGAATAATGATAGTGGAATAAATGGTAGAAGGAATAAAGTTCCGATTTATCATATTTTATTATTTAGATCGCATGTCTCTAACAATCTTGATCATTTTGTCCCTTTTTGCTTTTGCTCGCCTATGTCCACCAATGCGCTTTTTTGTAAATTTCAAAGCCCGTTTTTCTTTATCATTCTTTAGCAACTCAATTATACGTCGCTCAAAAGGTGCATATCCAACAATTTCTCTCACAAGCGAACGATGGAAGGACGCAGATTTAGTAAGGCGCTATTAAGCATAATCAAATGTAGTACTTACCCCTCTGCGACAAGACGGTTTCAGAGGTTTAATATTTTTTGTCTTTTTGCAACCCCTGTCACGGCCGACAACAACGGGGTACTTGTCTATTTTGACCATGTCGAGGCTCCGGGAAAAGAAATACCCTCGCACCAAGTTACAATTAACAAATACGGTAATCCAAAGCCTTAATAAAAGTAATAATAATTTGAAAGAAATTTGTTATTATAATTAGTTATAATATAAGACAGCAAGCAATATCAAAAATATACAAATGTAAGGTTTTCGCATAGGTATGATAAAGTTAAAATAAGATACTTAACTTATTTTAACATGATTTATAATTATTTTTAAACCCATTTATTTGACTTTAATTTTACATTGTATTCTGTTCGTTTTATTTATTTTGGACTTGGTAGATTACACATGCGGGGCAAGAAGGGTAGTTGTCATTCTCTCTTGTTTCTTTTTACTTTGTATTTTTATTTATTCAATTTCCATGTTTTTCATTATAAATGAATTCAAATTCTGCATTTACAACATTTTTGCATTGTTATATATATCTAAACCTCCATCTACACATTCTCTTTTTCGTCTTTCGTTAATTTTTATTGCAAACCTATGCTGTTATAGCAATCCCCATTTATATTACGTATGTATGGACATTATTAAATTGTTTTTCTTCCTATTTATATATTTATGTTAACTTACCAAATAAGTATATACTTTTACGTATATTTCAGTCCCTTTGCCCTCTGGCACTTTATTCTCTCTCGGCAGTAAACGTGGTATACCAACCACTAGCTCGAGTGGACCTCTTACAAAGAAAAACAAGAGTGAACTTCCGGACGGTCAGTATATTCACTTCGTCATATCTCCCTCATAAATCTTAACCGATCATATCTCATATTTCTTAGTTTGTCCTTCTTTTTTGGTTTACAGTCGATCCTTCGACTTTGGCTAGTCAAGTAGAAAGTGCTTTATCGAATGGCAATCCAGCGGCCGCAGAATCCCTTGTGCTAGCAGCATTGGGTTGCCTTCGTCATGGCGTGTCTGGCGGTTCTTTGGGAGGCTCTTTGGCCTTGGTTACTGGGACAGCTTCTTCACTTAGTTCGACTGGTTTGAGACTTTCTCCGGCGATCTCTTTTGGTCTGCTCTCTCTGGCCCGCTCTCATCCATCCTTGTTCTCGCGACCTGCTGTTTTGGATTACCTTCTTAATCTCCTTTCTTTGACTACGCGTGATTTTGGTGGAGGCCTGGTTGGCCAACCTCTGCAAGCCGCATTTGCAACTCTGGCTGTCCGAGCCCGAGGCCTTCTAGTATGCAGTTTACTTAAGCTCTTATCGGCTGTGCTGTCTTAAATTTTTCGAATATATTTTTTTCGATGTACTTTTATTTGATTTATGATTGCTTTCTTTGCCATATTAATGTATGTATAATATTTTAGGGGATTACTCCTTATACTTTACTCTATATTTTTATATTTTAGGTATTTGTGGCAAATATTTTGCTTTTGGCTTTGCAGGATCAAACCAAGTGGCCCACAAGACTAATAAAGGTAGGTTATTCATTTTTATATGGTATTATTTGGTTGCACACTCACTTATATACACATAATTTATTAGATATATTTGGATGACAGTCTCTCTGATCGCATCTGGGTAGACCGTGAAGAGTGCCGAGCCTTTGTTTTGAATCTCGAAACTGCATTTCCTGAGGTCAGAGGGGATCCGCGTGGGCTTTTCACCCTCTTGTGCTCTTCTGGTTCCAATGCGAGTTTGCTTGTTCCTACTGGTACAAATTCATCTGTCGGAATGATTTCATCATCTTCAACATCAGTTGGTTCTTGTGCTACTGCTTTTGGAGGACAAAACCTTTCTAGCATCAATCCCGCACATGTTGTTTTAGGCTTAGTTCCTACTTCTGTAAGAAATCAATCAAATGAACCTATTGATGGCTTGAAAACTGCTGCTCAGGACATTGAGGAAGCAGTATTACATATGCTAGGCACTCAAGGAGCTCATACATCCAAGGTTAGATTAACTATTTGCATGTTTTTTATTGTTTAGTATTTGACATAAGTGCGCGCTATATTCATTCTCTTCATTAATTGTCCTACCCTTGCATATTTATAGTATTAACTGAGTATAAGTATTTTTATCCTACTATATATTAATGAATACATTATGTAGCATGTTAAAGTAATAAGTTTTGAAACTGATGAATAAAAGATTTATTCAAACCAGCCATATGAATTTTATTGCCTGTTTTTAAATTGACCAAAATAGCCATTTAAGCTTAAAAACATCATTTTATATTATTTTCTTAGATCGTTCACTCTGGTGATCCAAAGCGCCTTGTCCAGCCTCGCTTCGAAACTTGTAGACAGGCGGTTAATGTCATTATTGTAAACACACTTCGTGATGCTCTGGGTCGTCGGGGCCTCGTTGGAGGGGCAGCTAGTGGTAGCAGTAGTAGCGGTGGCTGCACGGGGGCCTCAGTACAAAGTACCGCCGGGTCCATCCCCGGAAGTAACTCAACCATGCATTCAGGTCCATCCGCAAGCTCAATTTGCAGTGGAAGTGGTCAAATGAGTTCTACAGTATCTACCACAACACTAGGATCATGTTCAATATCTGCTAGCTCCTCGATCGCTGGCGGAACTGCTGCTAGTGTTACTAGTGTTGGCTCTGGTGCTGTAAGTGGTGGCGGCGGGAAAGACACTTCCTCTGGTGGATCAGGCGAAATAGTCCACTTAAGAGGGTTAATTAGAACTCTGGCTTTAGCGGCCGGTATCCCTGAGATCCGTGGACTAATTGCTACCAGACTTGAACCTTGGCTAACGGCGAGTAGCTTTATTTTTATATTTTACTTGGTATATTTAAATTTATGTTGGTTGTTCTTTAATACTTCATTCCTTTAGTGGAATCCAATTCTCATATCGTTAGGTTGTTATTTTATATTAAACTTCCTATTCACAATACTTTTGAAGCTCGTTAGTGTGAGGCACCTTCTGCCCTAATTTTTATAGTTTTCTTACTTTCTGTGAGGAAATAATTTATTTGTGATTTAGGGAATTGATTCATTTGTGCATTTGGCCAAAATCACGAGTCGAAAATGTTAATCAACGAAATTACTACAATTGTTATATTTACAAGGACCTTTTTACCTATACTTTATCTTATTTAATAACTGTTAGTCATTTATTATTTTGCAGTTTTTTGTCTGTTTATACTGTCATATTATTATTATTATTCACGATGTTA